GCGGTATAAGTCCAAGGTAGAATAAGTCAAGTGCTTTCTAAAGCGGTATAAGTCCAAAGTAGAATCTCAAGAGCTTTCTAAAGCAGTATAAGTCCAAGGTAGAATAAGTCAAGTGCTTTCTAAAACGGTATAATTTCAAGACAGAATCTCAAGGTCTTTCTAAAGCGGTTTAAGTCCAAGGTAGAATCTCAAGTACTTTATAAAGCGGTTATTTGTCAACGGTGTAATCAGTCAAGTGCTTTCTAAAGCGGTACAAGGATCTTTAGCGATGTATTGTATATATGAGTTCCACTTGTCTTGGATTAAAATGAGACCCTATAAAAACAAAAGAGCAAGAAGTTTTATTGAGAATACGACAGTTCCTCATGATTGAAGAAAATTTTTGATTCAAGACTGTAATGATTTGGGACGAAAATGGTGATCATAAATGATATTTTTTTTTTAAGCGGTTGGTATTCCATCTCAGCTAGAGCCAGCTACTCTTTACCAGAGAGCTGATGAAGGTTCTGATAATATAAATGTCGTCCTATTCTTGTTCTTATTGTTGACCTCTGGTTACGTTTGCTCTTTAGCCTCGTTATGTCGAAGAACATAACCTGGCTAAAAATAGTTTGTTATTTGACAAAACTTGTACCTGTCATGACAGAAATAGCCAATATTACCGATTCCAAAGTGTTCAATCTTATTCGCATAATCGACTCCATGAATGCCCAATTCCGGCTCCAAATCGAACCGTATTTTTTTTTTCGCCCCAAGCAAGGCGATAATGCCACTAAGAAGCAAGGAGCTACTGGATGTTAAAAAGAAAGAAAATAATTTATAAAGAAACCGGAAACCCAAATCTAAACAGGAAACTGGAGATAAACCTCTACTCCTGCTCAAAAAACCCGGAGTGGGGTATGAATCGGACGATAAGCGAACCTATCTACTCCTTATTAAACCGCCTGACCGTTGTAGGGAGACTTGGTCACATCATCCGTAACAATGTTATTGCCATTATCTTTACAGAAGCTTATACATCTTCTATCTGTCTTATCCCTTCAGGACGTGGGTGATCATGACTCTCCATATCTTCCTTCCTTTGTATCCCTTGGGTAAAATTGATCTTTTGCTATATTTCCTAATCCCTTTCCTGTCAACCATTTACGAAAGCTCGTTTGGTAGGTGAGGCACATCTTTCCCCTCCCCATCTTGCCTTCAATATGTCCTGTGAGTGTTAAATTTTCTAAGCCCTCTTTTCTTAATATATGCCCCAAAATTTTCAAGTGTCTTTTTCTGGGACCATGTGTCATTTTTATTTGCATTTTTTTCTAAAGCGTTGACGTTGCTCATCTGTTCAGAAAATGATATTCTCATCATCCTTCTGTAGAAGCACATTTCTGTTGCCTCATGTCTTTTATTCTCCTGTATCGGGATTTTTCTAGCATTTATTCTCATATATCTGTAGATATGACACAAAAACTTTGGACAATTTTTATCCGGAAATGCAATAACTTATTCGAGATTTAAGAAAAAAAAATACCAAAAGTTACCAGACAGAACCTGTCGGTCGAATAAAATGTGTTTCACACACACACACACACACACACACACACACACACACACACACACACACACACACACAGAGGCACACGAACGCATGTACGCACACAACCCCCCAAATAACGAAGAATATTATTTATTGTTTAAACAAACTTACATATTACATGTGTGTGTGTCTGTAAAAATTTATGTATAACTAAAACTATATCTAAAAAAAAAACAAAAAAAAACAACATAAATAAAGACATAAGGAATACTTATCTTAGTCGACGCACTTCCTAGGCTGATGGACGTTAACAAGGTAAAACACGTGAGCTAAGATAAATTTTCACAAACACATACACACACTAGCACACACATATACACACACTCACACAAAAAAAAACACACACATATATATATATAATGTATTAAATTATAAATATTATGTTTACTTATTTTTATCATAATCCTTTCATATTCACGAATATTTTTCAGTGTATTACAATCAAATGATGAAAGAAATGCACTGTAAGAGTGAAAATCACTTTTGTTTCCAGAGTACTTTCAATCTCTTTCTGGGATCATCATCAGTATGTAAGTTTGTTTAAACAATAAATAACATTCTTCGTTATTTGGGGGCTTGTGTGCGTACGTGCGTTCGTGTGCCTGTGTGTGTGTGTATGTGTGTGTGTGTGTGTGTGGTAAAGCAAAAACTATGTGTAGTTATCCATTACTAAAGAATGCTAAAGCATAACTGTTAGCCATAGCATTTAAACGCAAAAGAAAGAAATCAGTAATGTTTAGCGACAAAGCAGTATATTTAGTTATTTACATCTACTGGAATGAATATTCCTGAATACAATCAGGATCAGAGGTCAAGGCCCGTTAGATGTAATGATGGTTTACCCAAGGGGACGCAGGTCCTTAGTATCCGGTTGGAGGGCGTTTATTTTTCTAACAGGAATTCACGAATATTCAGGCTGGTAGATGTAAATACATAAACTGTTCAATAATAAAAAAAGAGAATATGAGTATCCATTAAAACTAACGTTTAAAGAAATAAATTAAAAACATGTTGAATTTAATCCATTTTATAATATATATATATATATATATATATATATATATATATATATATATATATATATATATATGTGTCTGTGTGTGTGTGTGTGTGTGTGTGTGTATGTATATATATAAATGGATATATATATATATATGTATTATGAAATATATATATATATATATATATATATATATATATATATATATATATATATATATGTTTACTATGTTTCCATAGTAATTAATTTTTGAATGAACATGATTATAAAGATGCGTAAATTTCAAGATTGGTTATTTTTAAATTTTCGCTTGAGGATGAAACAGGGCTTGATACTTTAACTCAATTTAATTTTAATAATTATATTGAGGGTTTCTGGCTCTCGTTTTTGAAACATGAGAACTCTTATGTAGCGAAAGAATCATATTTTTTAAAATAATTTTAATTTAAGCTCTACTTCTGTATGGAGCACTAAATTTTTGTTATTTTTTTTTTTAAATAAAAAAAAAAAATACTAAGGAATTCGGATTATTTACCTAACGTGTTCTTTCCTATTTTTTCAATACATACCTGCACACACACACACACACACACACACACACACACACACACATATATATATATATATATATATATATATATATATATATATATATATGAATGTACACTGAGGTGGTCAACACTGAATAGCAAATTATCTTATAGACATGTCTGATTGAATAAATTACAATTTCTGTATATATACATATACATATATATATATATATATATATATATATATATATATATATATATATATATATATATGTGTGTGTGTGTGTGTGTCCATATTGTTTGCCGAGAGAAAAACGTTGCAGATCCACGGGTGTCCATTCACGCTAATGCCATTTCATAATATATATATATATATATATATATATATATATATATATTAATATATATGTTTATATATATATATATATATATATATATATATATATATACAAATTTATGAATTATTCACACAAAACTAATGCAAAGGTTAATGATTTAATTGGCGAGAAATCCATAGTCGCAAACAATTCAAATAATATACAAAAACTCCGAATCCGTTATGAATGAAATGATCCTCGTTTCTATAAATTTCTGCCGTATTAGTTCTTATTTTTACTACAAGCTTTCGTCTGTTCCTACAGACATCTTCAGGTATAGAATAGATGTTGTTCTTTTTTTTTCTCTTAGTAATAAGAGGACAACGAAAATATATGTATTGTTGTATCCGAAAATGCTATTGAAATGAGTTATTGTTTTTGGAGCGTGCAGTAGCAACGCTGAGTTTGATTTAAATTTTTAAAAGTTGTGCGTTCATATACAAATATGGTGATGAACGAATTTTTTACTGGTAAATTTTCTGTCAAAGTGGCATGAACTATATTGTTCAATAATTACAGTAATGTCGCACTTATTATCCAAAAGTCGCACTTGGATCAGTTATTTAAATTACAATAAACGTGCAATCAATTTACAAATTCATGAATTATTCACACAAAAACTAATGCAAAGGTTAATGATTTTAATTTAATATATGTATATATATAGATAGATAGATAGATAATTTTAATTTAATATATGTATATATACAGATAGATAGATAAGGTAATATTCTAAACTCCGAAGAAGCAAAACAGATTGAAAAGTCAAATAACACCACATTCCCTTGTCTCATCAAAATTACCCACACATCTCTCGAAATCACTCCATAAGGAAATAAACATCTTCTTATCGATTACTTTTTCTTCCTTGAATAAGCCATTATACACTTGTATATACACTGAGTATATATATATATATATATATATATATATATATATATATATATATATATATATATATATATATATTAAGTGTATATTGCAGTATATATATATATATATATATATATATATTCTGTGTATATTAGTGTGTGTATATATATATATATATATATATATATGCGTTGTGGCACTATTTCTAAAAGATTTATTAAACTCGCAAACTTATCTCTACTTACCCTGATGTTGACTTAAGAAATTCAAAAGCTTTGAGCGGCTTATTTTCTGTTCGGAAAATTCTTGACGTAATTCCTTGCATGTTTGAGAAGCATTAATCGTAATTTAGTAAAGACGATCATTCGAATTAATCGACACAAAATGGCAGTCGTTTTCAATATTATTTTCCCTAAACAACATTTGCCCCCTTAATACACAGAGTACACACACGCGCACACACACACGCACGTGCACACATACAGACACACACACACAAATACACACATGTGTGTGTGTGGAATGTAGAATAGAAGATAATTAAAGAATAAAAGACGATGTCGAAGGAAGGAAAGTTTATGAAAACTAAGATTACATTTAACATCTTAATAAAGACAATAACGACACTTTCAAGAAAGACCGAAAGAGACAGAAGGTTGAAAAGAAAAATGGTTAGAAAAGAAAGAGTGACGGTAAGAGACGACAAAGAGAAAACGAGGAAACAGACTTTGTATGCGAGTGAGTGAAATTCCGTATTCGGAAAGCGATCGGGGAATGACTCCTAGAATTGCAATTTACAATTGCGCTCCCGGCACGGCTAAAATTCTATGGACATAACTGACGTGCTGCGCGTTCCCAGTTCAAGTGTTTCTGAATTGTTCGCCGAGAGAAAAACGTTGCAGATACACGGTGTCCATTCACGCCAAAGCCACAAAACCAAACCGAAAAATCCACCATCTTCCTCTTCAATAGCGTCGTTGACATTCTTTTTTCTTCTACTTCTCCTTCTTCTTCCCTCTCTCAGTATCTAACTTTACATCTCTTTCTCTCTCATCTTCGTTTGTCATATGTGTTTTTTTTTTGTTTTCATAATCACTTGTAATATTGGTTACTTGTTCACAAAATGTGCGAGTATTAGAAAAATGCGAAACGGTTGTAGTTTTAGTTCCATAAAAGTAGTGAAAATAAGAATGAATATATATATATATATATATATATATATATATATATATAAAGAAGGAAGTAGAGAAAAAGAAAACGTGAATGACAAAAAAAAAAATGAAAGAAGCTAAAAATGTATAGGAATGAGCAAACAAATTAAAAATAAAACAAATGAATAACTGAATAAAATAAAAAAATGTTCTAAAATCAGGAAGAAGAAGAAGAAATTGGTGTCGAGAGAAGTAGAAATAAAAAGCACAAGAGGAGACGACGACGAAGAAGAAGAAGAAGAAGAAGAAGAGAAATGGGAAGCAAGAAAAGAAGAAGAAATGGGAGGCAAGAAGGAGAAAAAAAAGAAGAAGAAGAAATGGGAGACAAGAAGAAGAAATGGGAAGCAAGAAGAAGAAAAAGAAATTGGAAGGAAGAAGAAGAAGAAGAAGAAGAAGAAGAAGAAGAAGAAGAAAACAAGGCCATATTTTTTTTTAAATGTCATGTTACTTTAGAATGTGGGCGATCTCATAGCTGTCCACAAATTCCTTTTCTTTATTATCTGCGACTTATGATTTCTTGGGAATGATAGTGGGGAGTGGTTTCCCGTTACTTTCCCTACGGTTTGCAATTCAGATTTTTCCTTTACTTATTCCAGTTGCCATACAAGGCTACACATCCCGGTTTATCCTGCTAATTAACGCAAAGTTAGTAGTAGAAGAAACAGATTCATGTCTTTCCAAAGATCATTTGATCGAAAGTCAATACAACAGTCGAGCACACAATTTAGAACGTGATGAAAGAGTCTCTTGTTTCTGTCTATATTTCTGAGATGAGGTATTATGTACACTATTTACATTATTCGGACTATTTTCCTCATCTTTGTCGCCATATTTATCGCAACGTTTCGGCCGTTGTACGCTCCGGTCTTGTTCAGGTGTTCGCGTCATTGTTAATAAACTTCTAGGTACTTGCAAACGAGACCTCATATGCTATCGTCTAGTGGCGCTCACAAGGACAAGACAGCGAGAAAGATCCTGGAAAAATGGCCGGCTCCTTCAAACGATCGCAGAAACCTCACCTGGCATGAGATATCTTCACAAGAATCAGATCAGACCAAAATTGGTGCATTGATGCCATATCTAGGCTGGAGATGCCCAGTCCTCATTGCCCAATCTTGACAAGGCTGAAAAGCATTTGTGCGGCCTTGTGGTTGATGAATAATTTTCCATCCTTCAACACCTTTCCCATAGAATGGAACGTTGCTCTATCGTTATTTACATGGTAATTTTTCATCAGACCTTCGCAATGAAGACTCGCCATTGTATGTTCAAAGAAATCGATTCATCCTCATTTCCCGTCATCTGCGTCCTTTCATCATCCTTATTCAGTAACCTTCAAGCTTGAATGTCTCTTGGGCCTTATATCGAGAAAACGGTAGCATAAAAAAGAAAGAAACTGACAGTATTTTATGAAACATCTACTCCCATATATTGAGGATATAGCTGTGGTGGAAATTCGCAGAGGGTTTCCAACTCGATAGACTCTGAAGAAGGCTGTACAGTACAACTGCTGAAATCTCGAAACTTAAACTTGAGACTTGTTCGAGTAAATCAGTGTGCCATAAATAGTGATTCCGTATCTAAAAAAAGAGGAAAAACTTCGGACGTAATTTTGTTTATTGCGTTGATAATAACGGTGACATTTACATTTGAACATATGGGTACTTTATCAGCAAAGGACTATCTGGATTTTTTATACACATTTAAAGAAATATATATATATATATATATATATATATATATATATATATATATATATATATATATATATTTGTATATTTAGCAGCAATCCTTCCTTTATGCATGTTTCATTAAAAACGACAGACAAAGGCAATATATTCTCCCCAAAGCAAGTAATAACGATAGCGGAATACACAGCTAAAAATCATACACATTTATTACAAAAACCAAATGCATATTAATTACAAACAAGATGAATCTTCTCTAAGGCATATTATAAAGAAATATACTACTCCTATTGATCCGAATAAAAAAATCAAACTTATTATCTATTATAAAAAATTTAAGACGGCCAACCTTATCCTCAAAAATAACAACACACCAACTAAGTCAAAATTACAAAGAACGAACATTATCTATGAGTTCAAATGCCCTTTAAGGAATTGCGTTCCTCACCAAACCGGACTCATAACCAATTACATCGGCTACACAACTACATGTTTATCCAGACGTCTTACATTACACCTATCTGATCACAGTTCCATCAGAACACATTTAAACACACACTCATATTTACCCGACACTATTACAAACGTACTAGTAAAAAACACAAATATATTAACTGCATCCACTTGCAAAAAAAGACTAAAAATAATGGAAGCCCTAATAATAAAAAAGAAAAAGCCAACTCTTAACAATATTAACTATGAACAAAGCCACAATGTGCTAACCGTATTCGGAAACTAAAAACATCACTACCACAAACCGAACATACACAGAACACACACACTCTACTAAGCTGATAATCGAATCATCCTTGATAATGGCTAATGGTATAGCCGAAAGCGCTCGGAAATATAGAACATTCGGACAGTTCTTACACACTTTGTCCAGAAAAGAAAGCTCTTGTCCGAACACAAGAAAATTAAATAAAAAAGCTCAACCGTAGTACCTTGTCTGTCGTTTTAATGAAATATATATATATATATATATATATATATATATATATATATATATATATATATATATATATATCGTGGACGTTCCCTTCGTATTCGTCATGTGAGAGTCAAGCAGCTCCGTTCATAGGACCCAACAGCCAGACACCATCATATATGATTCGATTATAGTGGTGAAGGTTTTGTACAGAACCATGCACACATTTTGAAGGGCTGAATACAGATACCTGGTGCACTACGTGCCACAAGGTCCCCAAACAACGCTCCGCAGGTTTTGAATTCGGAGTTGTCATTGTCTTAGACCGGTGTCCATCAAAGACTATAGAACCCAGTCTGTCCTGCTATTTACCCATAGCTGGGGGAGAAGAAGATTCATACCTTTTCCCAAAGGGATTGGTACGTAAGTGAATGTAATGAATTCGACTGGGATTCGAACTCGGCTCTACGATTCCTCAATCCGAGCCGCAATCCACTATCCACTTTTATGGACGTAAATTATATAGAAATCGTCGGAATGTTCTGTATGTCCAAAAGCTTTCGGCTATTCGTTTAGCCATTATCAAGGATGATTTTATTTTTACTTTTAACTGAATCTATGGATTGTTTTATGACCGTTGAACTATAGGAAGTTTTTTATTTTATTTTCCAAACATGGTCAGCACACACACATTCACATACATACATACACGCACATAGCATGAAACAGTCTGTCACCTCTGAGTGTCGATTCAATGTTCACTTTTTAAAATATATATATATATATATATATATATATATATATATATACATTTTCCTGAAAAAAATATTTCGGTTGAGCTCTTGGGGTAAAAAATGAATTTGTATAGAGTGACTATTACTGCTGCTGATGCAAGACTCTTCGTTAAAAGGAATCGAGTTCTCAGGTTATTGACGTGTTTATCTAAACATAAATACGTCTAAATTCATCTTCATGCCTGCCAATACCAAATCAGTCGGGTTTCTATCCCAACATGAGGTCTTGCCACACTGATGATCTGTGAAACAGCGAAACAGTCTGCCTGTGCACGACTATCTATCTATCTATCTATCTATATATATATATATATATATATATATATATATATATATATATAAACGTGAGCGTATGTTACTGACACAGTTATTTACAGGATTCTGATGTCAATTTTTTATTTGATGATATTCAGTATAGAAAATCATTTGGGTCATGCATATTGAAAAGGAAGGAGATTATGTTAAAAATATACGAAATTAACGATATACCTGCATATATATATATATGTGTGTGTGTGTGTGTGTGTGTGTGTGTCTGTCTGTGTGTCTTTATGTGTCTGTGTGTGTGTGTGTGTGTGTGTGTGCACGTATATTCATGTGTACGTGGTTAGTGCGTTCTGGGAAGTCAGTATGTGAACTATGTATTATATTTGGTGCTTGTTATTGTTGTTGTATTGGTGCGAGTTAGCCTTCCTTTGTCCATGACTTTCTTACTTCCTCTCTTTCTCTTACACTTTATCTTCCTCTTCTCTGTCTCTCTCTCTCTCTCTCTCTCTCTCTTTTTCTCTGAAACATGCTCTCTGTTGCTTTGTCTATCTTTCCCCCATGCGCCCAAACACATTCTAACGTTTCATCAGTAGGTGTTACGAATTCCACGATTTGCATATTTAGAATCGCGTAGTATGGTATTTAGTTCTTTGGAACTTTTATTTTTCGCATTCTTCCTTATATTTTTATCACTTTTTTCTTCCTTCTTTTTTTCTCTGAATGGTTTTATTTTCCTTTCTGTTTTCTATTTTTTTAGTTGGCGCTGTTGTTCATTATATATATATATATATATATATATATGTGTGTGTGTGTGTGTGTGTGTGTGTGTGTGTGTGTGTGTGTTGTTTCCTTCTTGGCATAAGCTAGAAATTATCTTCCCAATGTCAGCAAAT